GTGTGTGTGTGCGTGCCCAAAATCCTGAGAGGAGAATGGAGGAGAAGGAATTGTGGCGTGGCCATCATCGCTGGGGGGTGATTTCTCGCTTTCTGTCTCTGTCTTTTTTTGTCTTTCTGGCAAGAGCACATGCACTATAGCCAAAACCACTTCAAAAAAAAAAAAAAACAAAACATAACAATTGCTACTAATATCTCATTTTGGGAGAATTTCTTTTCAGAAAAACAGCTTCTGTGCCTTTTACTGCTGTCCTTTCTCCGTACTCTGACGACGATATCACAGGAAAACAAAACTACAGGCCAATAACCCTGATTAACATAGATGCAAACCTCTTCAACAGACTATGAGTAAACTAAATCCAAAGTGCATTGAAAGGGTTATATGCCATGAACAAGTGATATTTAAGCTTGGCTGTAAGAATGGTTCAACATAAAAAAAAAAAATCAATGAACAGAATATACAACGCTAACAGAAAACAACAAAAATCACGTGATTATTTCAGTATAAATAGGAAAAATACTTAACAAAATTCATCATTCTTCCATAATAAAAACTTTCAATAAGTTAGGGGAAAGAGGAAATACTTCAACAAAATAAAGGCCATATAAAGTACATATATGTATGTTTATATATATGAATTCTCTCTCTCTCGGGTGAGTGTATGCAGCCTCTGGCAATAAAAAGGGAAAGAAAGCTCCGAGAGCCCATGGCCTAAAGTGTTTACAGAGATTCACATGCTTATTTGCATTAGGATGTTTTAAAACTACATTTATGGGGCACCAGCAGGTGGTGCACAGGCGTCTGGATCCCACATGGCTGACTTTGTGGTTTGAGTCCTAGACCTGGTGGCTTGAAAAATCACAGCATAAACATGCGCATGAGTGCCCAAAATCCCAAGAGGAAAATAAAGAAGGCGCTGGGGTGTGGCTATTACCCATGGCAGTGAAAGGAGGGGGTCCTCATTCCTCCCTATCCCTGCTGAGTGCACACGCCCTATAGCAAATGAAAAAACTTAATAAATAAAATTATTTATTTAATGAGAAAGAGAGAGAGAGCACTCTCAATAGGGTCCCAATGCCATGATTCACCCCCAGTCGTAGCCAGACATAGATTATGGGCAAGCGTACACCCAGTCACTTGTCCATGTGGATTGCCTTGCAGGGTATCACATTTCATCATTATGCCACTGTCTGGCAAAATGTCTGCATTCGATACTTTTAATAAGCCACTTACAAAAAACAATGAGCAGATGACTCTGTTCACTATGCTTTCAAATGTTTTTGGAAAACTGAGGAATATAATGCTATTATTCTGTTGTTCCTAAAGTCAGTGAACAAAGCAGTGAAGAAAAGAACGAGCTCAGAAACTCAAATTCCCAGATGAAGTGCCACACGTGAGAGGTCTTCCAAATGTTTATGGAAATGCATCTGATGGTAAAATATGAACAGATTTTGATTTTTTTAGGTACTGAAACTCATACTTCAATTTCACTGTTCCACAAAAATTCTGAAGTCCCCTCATAAATAATGTAAGATCTAGATGTTGCCTACAAGAATTCTTATAGAGCAGTTGTGTTGTTTTCAATTCTGAAGTCACCTGGATCTGAATGGCCTGTCCCTCTAGATTTAATGTCAACAGATCCTAGAACACCTCGTCTTTCCTAAGCTCTTTCATTTGGTTGACCCATTCATTCAGTCAACAAAGTTTTTCTTCAGCACACAGCCCATGGCACAGTTTGGAAACATTTGGACTTTTTGAAATTAGAATGGTTTATTGGCCCAGCCTGAGTGGGCCAATGCAAGCAGCAGCATGCTGTACCGCAGTATTAGAAGCCATATGGCCAACCACAGATTTAGATCCTTGGCTGGCCTGGAACACGTTGTCCATTTACACAGGTGCCCAAGATCCTGATGGCTGGAGGGCCAGGGAAAGGATTTGTGGTGTGACAAGATCTGTCAAGGGTGCCCGTCTTTCCCCCTCTCACTCCTGCTCATGTGCATGCACTCTATCATAAATGCACTTCATTTAAATCGTCAAAACAAAAAAACAAGTGAAGAAAGAATGAATCGAGCCAGCCCCATAGCACACTGATAAAGCTCTGTACATTGAGAGCTGAATTCCACAAGACTGACCGTTGTTTCAATCCCAGTCTTAGTGGCTCCAAAAACATGGCCAGCATGTGTGTGTGTGCCTAAAATCTTGATAGAGAAATGGTAGGAAAGCACTGTGCCTCACTGGGGGGATGGTTTCTCTCTCTCCCTCTCACTCTCTCTGCCTCTCTGGTCAGTACATCCTTTGAAATTTAAAAAAAGAAAAAGTAAAAAAGTGTGTTTGTTGATTGAGGAGTGAGGAGAAACTCGGCCTTGTGGGGAGACTATCTTGACTCATACTCTGCCCTAGCATTTTCTACTGGTGGGGTCTTCTGCAAATTGTTTTGTCTCACAGATTCAATCTCCTTATCTGGAAAGTAAGGGTGATAAAATAGTGCCTACTTCATAGGATTTATGTAAAGACTCAATGAGTTAACAGAGGAAATATACTCAGTGCAGTGTCTGGCGATAAATGTTAACTGTTACAATTATATAACAAAAAGGAAAAATACAAATAATAAGTTAAACTAAAGCAATAACTTCTTTCTTAACATAAAATATCAAACTGAATCTGATCCACCAATAAGGAATGTGTCATTTTCCTAAATAATAATAATAAAAAAATGCTTCATGTAACGAGCAAATGGTGAAATGATTATACCATTGAACTTCCACATGGCAGATAATGGTTCGAGTCCTTGATCCGGCTGCTTGAAACATGCTGGGCACATGTGTGTACATGCCCAATTTTGAGAGTAGAATGGAGGAGAAGGGATTGAGGTGTGGCCATCCCCCTCGGAAGTGATTTCTCACTTTCTTTCTCTCTGTCTCTTTCTCTAGCAAGCAAAAACTATTGAATAACTACTATTGTATTTATCTCAATCTACCACCCACCTATATACCCTTAGTTCCAATATTCATTATCTTCATTTTTTTTTCTCCTTCTTTTGGCAATAAGGTGTGTGCTTTCACCAGAGAGAGGCAGAGAGAGGTAGTAAGAGGGAAATTAAGAACCCCCCACAGAGGTGACCTATAACAAAAATCTCTCATAAATAATAAATATGGTACAGAATCTTGCTCCAGTTCTTTTGGCATTTTCCACAGATAAAGCAAGAGAATGATTTTTAAATATGTAATTTATTGTTTTAGGCTCAAGTCTAGGTGACCATTATCAGGTCATTTTATATCTTCAGTGGTGAATATTGAGATCACCTCTATAACGTAATGGTTAAGGGAGTCAGTACCCACATGGACAACAATAGTTCAAATCCTGGCTCTAAAAGTTTGGAAAATATGCCATGTATGTATGTATGTACTGCCTAAAATCTTGACAGATGGAGAAATGGATGAGAAGTGATTGTGGCCCGATCATGCTTCATTGGGGAGGGTTACTCTCCCTCTCTCTATTTGACTCTCTATCTCTCTGGCAAGCACACACATCCTTTGGAAAAATGGGGGTGGGGAAGAGATCATGAATATTGGGGGTCCAGCAGGTGGTGTGATGGTTAAGGTGCTGGACCTCCACAAGACTGATGGTTGCTCGAGTCCTGGACCTAGTGGCTTGAAAATTCTGTCAGGCATGTGTGCATGCCTGCCCAGGATTCCAGGAGGGAAAAGGAGAAGAAAGGATTGTATTGTGGCCATCCCACCCCCCACCCCCCCCGGGGTAGTGGTTTCTTACTTTTCCTCTTACTACCTCTCTTTGTCTCCC